CCCCCCCCCCCCCCCCCCCCCCCCCCCCCGCCGCAAAAGTCTCGCTTTTAAACTTACACTCACCATTTTCTTCGAAAATATATGTGAGTTCCACAAAACAGAAAAGATATTTCATGAACTAAAGTCAAGAGAAAAGTGTAGTCGAGCGATCGCAAACAGGCAAGACCAAATGGCCAAATGACAGTAATGCACAGGTTAAATGATATATAATTCACAACTGATGATAGCTTATATATGATCATTGAAAAGAATAGAATCAATTGGACGGTCTGTGACGAACATAGNTCTCTCTGTTTATTCTGTTAGAAAACAACCGTTTATATACGCACGCGAAAACAAGGACAAGAAAAATAGAGAAAAACGAAAAGACAAAAGAAAAGAAATAGATCGAATCGAGGTATATATGTTATAGTAGAATACACCCTAACAGTGGGTATACAAGTCTTTCTCATGTCCACACATCCACACCTTTCTCAGATAACCTTCTGACAATGTAAACCTGAAAACACACTAACTAGTACTCAGTTGGCCAACTGAAACAGTTTAAAAGTCAAGACTGATAAGCTTATGTATTTGCGAAATAAGAGGTAAGATCTATTTAGATGTCTGACAATTTTTGTTCTTATTTCGGAGTAATCTAAATACTTTTTCTGATCAATTTAAATTTTACATCATTGTCTTCAGGCTTACATTCTGTATAAGACGACATGATAGTAGATTTCTCATAGTACGCATCTAAATTTGAAAGTAATGCTTTTGTGAACATATCTAAAATATACTGCAGATGTTAGTTTCAAGCTTTAGTTAAAGAATCGTTTTATTGTTAACAGAAAAACAGACACGATCAAGAGAGCAGTTAAAATTCAACTCACTTTCACAGAACAACGTGATTAACATTTTCTTCTTTTTCGCGCCTTTTTTTATCCAATAACACAAGTCTTTGAATTTTGTCCAATAGCGGTATGCGCCTTGTATATATATGCTAGAAGTGTAATGTATAAAACTCTCTGTTTATTAATGTCTATCGGTTTCTTTTTAAAATAGAACTTGATTAAAAACAAGCGTACAAAAGTAAATCGGTGTTCACCGAAACTACTGGAAGTGGCAAGTGGTGCGATTAACTACCTGTTATTCTTTTGAAATTTCCGTCGATAACCAGAATTATCTGGAAAGTCAACGATTTTTTAAGGCTAAAAATGCTCAGTCCATTGAGCTTTGAATGACAACTCTGGAGCCTGCTTAAAATTTCTAAAAAAGAACATAAAAGTGCCCCAGTCTTTACGGATCATGGACTATATATTGAAAGGACATTCGTTTTTTCTGAGTGCAATTTAGATTATTGAAATAGAAATCAATTATTCATGTTTATTTAGAGTTCGTTTTTAAATATTTTCTCAGCGCTAGAACTCCAATATATAAATATTATTTTGGAAGTTCACAATGAGTTACAAATGTATTATGACAAAGTTTTTAACAAGTGACTTTTTATATTTTTTGTTGATTTCCATGATATTAGAGCAGTTTCCTGTATCATAAATCATGTTGTGTTGCATTGACTAACATCATGCCTACTCTTTCCTATCATTTCTGCTCTTGAAACATCTATCAATACTAACTAGAGGTCTGAAAACGAAGGATCGAATCAGACCGAGTTTCGGGTAGGAAAAATGTTTTTACTCAAGACGGGGATAAAAAATCCTCTCCACTTTGGGCTCTGCTAGGAACATTTGCTCTTCCAAATATTTGTAAAACAAAAAAATTTTTTTTTGGTACAATAATTAGATCAAAAGTCTGAAAAAAAATAAAACGCATAATCAATCTTTCGTTTTAAATATAAAATGGAAACACTACCGAATGATATTCTTCTTCATATTTTTCCTATCGAACATGGTTCGGTATGTTAATATCGTTTTGGTCGTTAAAGATTCGGTTCAATTCTCTTGTGTGTTCAGTTTATTCAATAAGTGAGCATTTATTAAATACTGATCTTCTTATTAAACAAAGTTTATCTTATAATAAATTTTCGTCAATATTATTTCCGTTGATTTTAAATTCTTCATCTCTTTCTTTTTCTATTCAACATATTCATTTTGATGAAACATAACTCAATTGCTTGTGGTCTTAGTTATGAACTATTGTTTAATGATAAAAAATTCTTTGTTTCCCTAATTTTAAATCACTTATTCTTACTCGATTTATATCAATCGAACCAGTAGTTCAAAGTTTATGTTATTTTAGCGAACATCAATTAGATGAACATGCATTAACATTTCACCACCAAGTGTTCAGACGAGGTTTTTTTTATAAAAACACACACATTCGTCAATGGCTGCTGATATAGGTAATCAAGCGTTTATTTGATAGATTCTCTCAAAAATAAACCGAGATTTATCCTTGATTGAGACCACTTATATTCCATGTAAATCCATCAGTCGAAAAATTCAGCGTAAACAATGTCTGTTTCGAATTCATCTAGTTAGAATTTTATCTTCCAACAAGAAAACACCATATCCATCTCTTCCACTGTCTGTATCAGAGGCGTGGATTCGTCGAAGTGCTATTCATATCACACACCCACACCCTCAAGATGCTGACAGTTGACACATTCAGAGATTTAAAATATATTCTTGTACGGTAGTGGCAATTCATTATTTTGATTGATATTCAAGTGCTGATAAAACATGCTTGTTATTTTGTGACAAATTTGCTTTTTTTTCTTGTAAATTTCAAAGAAAAAATATCTTAATAATATTGTTGAAATAGAAGATTATTTAAATAACTTCGTTTTCTTTATTTCATGCAATAAACATGTAGAATTCTGGAGTTTTTCAAATCAATAGTGAGACTTATACTTGAATAAATCGTTGATCAAACTTGCACTTATCATTCTACTGACGAAAGATATAATTACATATTAACACTGAATGACATTTATCGTATGAGATCATCATTATATGATACACTATCATTACTCAGTTATTTGAAATACTTCTTGTAGGAATATCAGTATTTCGTATCAATGATCTAATACGAAAAATATCTCAATTGTAGGTCATAAAATTCTACTCAAGTTTCTAAAACAATATAGATTCATTTTTCGTTCAAAATAGGCCATTAGATATGTGAATATGAGAAAAACTCTTCACATTCAAAACTTTATCAGCAGGCGAACTAAAACTAACTAAATAATTAACGATGAACAAGAAAAGATATGTCTTAAAAGCAAAATAAAGAAATTCATAATTGAATCAAGTTAATGCATCTGTTTTGAACACACTTCTAATATCGTTCAACCCAAAATTTACAAAATGAACTTGGTATTGCTAGACTTGAAGGTGTTTTTTCACTTTCATCAGAAAATGTTCTTAAAATATTGCGTAATGGAAAATAAATTTTACTTAATTTACTTGAATCATTCATCTATGATTCTTCAATTGATCGGAATGGTCATGATAACGCTGTACCGGCTACATTTTATGGTGGTCAAAATAATTTATATGAACAAATAATAGTTAAAAAACGTCAAGTCGTAAAAGATGTTTTATACGAATATTTCAACTTCGTCAAATTGAAATACGACAGAATTGGATTACGCTAGGGTAAATAATTAAAATGAAAGTTTTTTTTCGTATTATATATTAGAAAAATCTTTTTTTATACAATCAATTAATCGTACTATGAATAAATTAATTCAACTTGTTAATGATATAGATGAGTTAGAAAAAAAATATCAATGAACAAGATATAAAAATGAATATTGAGAAACATTTTAATTTAGACGAAAAAAATTGCAAACAATCCGAACCGATATGAATGCAACAAAAGATTTAGTTTTAACACTTTATCAAAATCTTGAAAATATCTTAATCGATAGCACTGTACGTAATACATTATTAGTATTGTTCATTTCGTTTTTATTGTTTTTATTTTAGGAAGCAGATATCGACTTAAAATCAAATATATTCTATGATAAACGTCATGATTTTGTTGAAAAAGACAATATTTTTATTAGTACATCACTTGTTGTACTTTCTGCAGATTTTCTTCAAACAGTCGGCAAAACAACACTTCTTCATTAAGTATGAAATATAATTTAATATATCGAGACCAAAAAAATGTGGTCTCGCATATGTCTAGTGATCAATAAAATATATGAAAAATTCAAAAGAAAGTACGCTCGCTAAGACCTATACAATTAAATAATATTTCTTTTTGCTACAGTGAACAATTGAATGATGAATTATGAAATACTTCAAAAGTTTATCTAACAGCACGACAACCAACAGTTGCCAATATTTAAAAAAATCTTGTTGATCTATGTCAATATTTACGTATTGATTATATTGAATTGTCATTATTAACAAAACTAAAAGATCGTTTAAGTGAAGTTTGTAATAATTTTACAACAGATAATTTTTTTCTCTTATACATAATTTAATCTATTAAAATAAATGGCAAGAATTTTGAAAGCATATTGATACATATTTCTTAATATTATGAAACATCATCGTCATGGTCAGAACTAACAAGTCGAGCATTATTGATTGAAAATCAATTTAATGAATATATTCAAACTATAAATCAAGAAATCACTAAAGTAAAATCTATTTCTTATAGGTATCTGAATTACAAATATTTATTCATCGATCATCTACTGATGTTACTATATAGGCAATGCAAACCGGCTCATTTGTTTTTGATTATAATGTTAAAACGAAATATTGACTTCATTGTATTTTCTGCTTCAATCTATTAATCAAACAGATGCAGATTAAAAGTTTTTTTTTTGTGAAAATTTACATTCTAATGTTTATTCAAAGCGAGAAGAGAGAATATCTACTATGAACTTTTCCAGATCGATGGCAGTAACTCGATGAGATGGAATTTTTTCCATTACGATATCACACATATCTACTTCCATGTGTTAGTGTGAAACAAAAAAAAAGAAAGACATCATCATTGTATTCCAATGTACAAAAAGTAATTGAACTCGAGTAGAATGCGACTGTGACTGTTTAATATGCGTATGTCTCGTCTTTAGATTCATACTATTTTTACAATTGTTGTGCGTGTATAATCACAACATCTTGTGAATTCTTTCGCTTTGTTTGATATGAAATATTCGATCTACGTTATAAATAATTAGAATTAAAAAGGACATGTTAACAAATAACGAGATGCAATGATATTATACTAATATCTCATATTCTGTTTGCCTTTTGAAATACGCGTACTATTGTTAATAAATGGCGACTGAATTTTAATTTTTCTTTTTATTTAAAAGTTCAATACACGAATAAGAACAACACTTAAAAAATAAATCATTTCCGATGTAAATAGATATTACCACGATCTCGTTCAATTGTATAATCGTGACGTAGTTTCTGATGATCGTATATTTTATTAAACAGTTCATTGTCGATTATTGTTCGAAGATGAAGACAAATTGAACGAAGATATTGATTGCACTTTTTATGAATATTTGGCAAAATATCTTTGAGAAATGATTTATAATCGATCTCATTCATTATATCTACTTTGAGATATGTTAAACAAGGACAAAGTTTAAAAATAAAAACAATTTCTTCCATTGTTTCTACATATTGGAAATAAACTTTTGTAATTTTACTGCTACTTAATGTGCACGATGAAAATTTTGATTGGAATGATGTTAACGAAGAAATTTTCAATGAATCAAGTGCAGGTAAATAATTTATAATTTCAGTTAATGTAATTGAACACATAGTATCTAAAATTTCCAAATTATAAATTGGTGTTACTATTAAAATATCACGAATATGTAAGTTTAATGCATAACTAGGAATACTCGTTATTGTAAGTAGAGTCGATTTTGAAAGTTCAATAGAAGAATTTCCATCGTACCATCTATCCCTACAACGAAAAAGAAACCAATCATTTATCCGTAGAAGAAAATTGTTTTCAGCTGACTTATATAAACGAATCCAATAGACAACACCAAATGAATCCATTTCAACTTCCCATGTCCATCGGTGCTCAATCCAAAATAATGAAGTACATGGATGCGGAGGTTTATAACATTTTAAAAAAACAGATTTACGATTAACGGCTCGAGAACATTTAAACTGAAATATTTCTAATTGTGGTAAACATTCTGAGATTAAATTTTCCCATTGATCAGCATCAAGATAGTTTCTATCATGAGATTTAATATTAATACGCAAAAATTTTAAATTACATTCACTTTCTCTAATAAAAAGTTTAAATTCATCAAATTTTATTTCACACGATTCGATTGAAAAGTGCGTTAAATTGAATAAACCAATGGGTAATATTCTTGGACTTGAATAATTCTCATCATCAAGCAACGACACATGAAGATATCGAAGTTGAGGTGTATAAGAAACGATTAGAGAAAGATCATTAAAATTACAAGAATGATCAATAATAAGGCGTGCTATAGTTGTTAATTGTTCATTAGTAGCAACTGGTAATTGAAGAGATACCATGTTTGTTTCTGATGAACATGCAAAATATGTCAAGTTTCGTGAAGTAAAAACTAATCGATAAATTTCAGTTAAATCCCATGATTCCCATTCTGTAGTAATGTTTAATGAACGAAGACGAGATAAATAGGTTAAATCAGTAAGAATTGAAAATAGTATTTGTGATGGAATGCCATTTAGAATGAGTGATTCAAGATTGACAAATAAATCAATTGGATATAACGAAAAGAAATCCATCTCTATTGATGATAATGATACACATAACGAAGCAATTTGTTGTCGATTAACGCGTGCCAGTTGTTCATATTCATTCATGTATGTTTCATCCGATAATGAGCCAATAACGATTTTAAATTGAAGAATTGATGAATTAAGAAGTTGTTGAAATCGATGATTAAGATTTGAAAATGCTTCATAGAATTCCAAGCCATCAAAATAAGCGAATATTTCATAGAAAACCTCGTTCGATAAATTTTCAATAGAAGCAATCGACATGTTTTCAAGTTAAAAATACAAAATTAATCGACGAAGTTGATTGTTTTCTTCTTTGTGTAAGAACTATCAACAAAAGCACATGTAATGTATATTATTATGGGTATTCTTTTTTTCTATAGTGAATCATTGACTTTTCTTATGGTAGGATCGATTATTTTGGAATCGAACGACCTCTTTAGTACATCTTTTCAGTGTTGAGCCTCCTATAATTTTGAAACCGTAAAGATTTTTTTCTTTTTATTTCAACGTTTGAGTTTTTCATAAAGAATTTCAGCATGTACACCATCTCAATGAGATCTGTCAAATGTTTTTTGGTTTGAAATCTATCGATCTAATATTGATCAATTTTTGGAAATTCTATAATCGAAAATTAAAAAGACGATACTTTTTTGTTGTCATAGCTTCTGATTCTTTTTAAGGAGTCGTAAGAGTTGTTAACAATACTAATTGAATCTCTTGAATAATTTGTCTTCGAAGAGATTTTCTTTCGTTACTTTAAAATACATAGACTAGACTAGGCGATGCGTTTTGGATACTATTAATGAAATCAATTCATATTTGTTTCCGAACTGGGTCGAATCAATTCCGCTTCTGATAGATAATGCTAATGTTCACAGTCAATATCCAGGGCACTATTATTAATAAATCGATCTGAAATAATGCTTCAATAAAATAGTTATTTTTGTTTGATATCTACTAAATATTACTTCGCTCGTCGTATTACATCTTCATTACTGATGCATCGTTCACATCGAATAAACTTGCTATTTCGGACTCGATGTGAGTATGGAGTGATATTTTCTTCACTCATATCTTCATCGCACCCACATCCCACAGCAATATCTACACTGGTTCTCACATCGAAACTCTCCCAAGCACAGACCCATAACGACTCGTAGGATTCCACATATATCCACTCCTAGACGTCTTACGACAATGAAAGAATCGGGATTTTGAAATGACTTTAGCCTTTTTCCGACCAATCTGTCTTACGTATTAGTGACCTGCATTTGTAAAGATGCCTGTGTTTCTATATCGTTTTATTATGAGAAACTGAAATTTATTAGTCATTTGGTTGCGATTTACTTCCTTTCGACCTCTTTGATTAAACCAATGAGCACAGTACGATTCCCGTCATACATAACAAAGTAACTCAACGATGGATAATCTTGAAAGTTTTCAACGCAAACAAACTCTAGTGGAACCAATTTCACTGTAGCAAGTTTACCAGATTCGATAAATTTTGGAGATGTCTCGTTGACTTGAAAATTCACTTTTTCGAACAGTTCGGTTACTCGGCAAATAATACGTGTTCTATGGCAGCAAACCATGAGGTTGTCACTTTGTCCAGTCTGACTTAAGTTCTTCAATTGCCATCATTTGTCCTCGATAGAGAATTTCCTTTGTTGAACTATTTTTTGATATTCGCTGTTGTAAAATGTGTTTTTCAATTAATGCTAAATGGATATCTTTAATAAAATATCTCATCGAATGTTCTCTCAATGCTTTGTTCCATAATCGATAGAGAAATGAATCACGTGTATACCAGAAAATGGCACTACATGCATCATAATAGGTTTCGAATTCTCCGATCGTATGTAAATCCGCTTTATTATCAGCACATACATGACGACAAAACATTATCATTTCTTCTTCTGTTGAATTTATTCGAAATTAGATTACTTCGTAATAATTGTGAATACATACGTATATTCAGCTTCTTGTCGTTGAGTGTTGTTGTTGTTATTTGATAAAAAGGAAGATTCGTAGTTTTCCACTGTGAGAGAAATACTAACACCGAAGAATCCTATAGAAATGGTAATGAACAAATATTAAATCATCAAATGATAATTGTTGTCGACGTTGGTATCTTATAGTTGGTATTTGATTTAGTTCATTGCATAATAAATTCAGATCTGTATGAACACTGCGTACTTTAGTCAATGTTTCGAAAAATGTTACATCTACGGCGCTTAAATATAAAATATAAACGGAATCAGGGTGTGGGTGTTCTTCTACTTCGCACCCTCACACTCACATCCATACCCTCGCACCAAAAACGAATTTTAATTGAATTAGAAAAAGTATGTCAGTTTATCATTAATGATTCTATGATAGATACTGACATTGACATTGTTTTAACGAAAGAATCAAGAAAACAAGCAACAATAATGAGAGAATGTATGTAGCAGAAATTTGAGTACATTTATTGAAGTTTTTGCGATAGGTTCGAACCATCGACACCATCTGCATCGCTGGTCCACAGCTAAGAAATGTAGACAAAGATAAATTACTATTTAAATCACATATCGATGGTGCTATACTCACAGTGAGATTATCACGGAGCAATTGCATCAGAAGAGTGGCGTCTATAATGAACGAAAGGAAAATCGACTGTGCAATGAATTATCAATTCATGAGCTTCTTTTCTCTCACCCTTGTAAGAATCTTCATCGAGAGAATCTAGCTCGGCTAATGCATCATCGAAAGCCTTTTAAATGGATATTCCTATTAAAACAAAAACTAACGAAGCTAATCGAACCAACAAACCTGCTTGGCTATGACACAAGCTGTTGCGCGATCATTGATGATTTCATATAGAAAGGTAGCAGAGCTTAAGGCCAAACCAAGTCGAATTGGATCCGTAGCTTTCATTCCACTCGTGATAAGATCAGTATAATTTTTGAAGGCACATCGTGATTCTTCAATCATTTCTGGTAGAAATATCAATCAAAACTTCGATTTTCATACAGGATGCGATAAGTTACTTTGTCGTTCATCACCAGTGGCTATCTCTGCCAAATAGCGATAATAGTCACTCTTCATCTTGAAATAAAATACCTTCGATTCGGTCGTTCCTGCTGTCAGAATGAGAGATTCATCGAGCAAATTCTTAATTCTCAAAACTTTGTTTTAGAACTATGGACTACTGAATAAGTCTTACCAAAACTTCTCGGCAACAGTCTTTCAATTCATTCTCGATCTTTTCTCGATATTCCTTGACGATTTGTTGCTTCCACTCGGAGCCTTGAGCTGTCTGTTCAATGCTCGAAATAACTCGCCACGATGAACGATGAGCACCGACCAAATTTTTGTAGGCAACTGAGAGTAAATTGCGTTCTTCACACGTCAATTCGTTATTCAATTTGACGACTCTTTTCATCGCAGTCACCATTTCATCATATCTAAACGAAAGCTCACATTATCAAATTGAATATGCTCTACAAATATATGTTGCACCGTTCGGTTTGTTCAGCGAATTGTGCTAATTGTACATATTCGTCCTTGTTCATCATTGCTTGTCAGAATTATTTATTCAATGAGATCAACGTCGGGCGGCGTGAAAACTATATTTTGCAATATAGCGTCATTGCTTGACGATTGCCTACGACAGACTTTATTTGGAAGTGCAACAAAAGAGGGCGCTATTATCGTACTGCTCTCTAAAAAACAAGAGGGCTGGACGATATCCCCCAAAATCGAGAAATTGTTCCTTTTCAAACAGAAATTCTTCACCCCACACAAAGTCAAGTAAAAACGCTTTTATACAAGAAAACAACGCAAAATAAAGATTAACGACCAGATATGCATAAAACATTTCGAGGAGTCGATCTTATTTGACTTTGTGTGAAGTGAAGGCTTTCTCCTAAGTCGCTATATTTAAGAAAGAAAAACTATGATTTCCTATGTGCACCTCCCCCTATCAGTGTCGACCTCTGCTTCAGAGCAGTCGCAAAGAAGTTGGAAAAAAATTGGTCACATTTTGGAATTCATGGACTTGGTGACGTATAAGATTGGATTGAGCTGAACGCTCTACTCACTGCTGTATCTGATTTTCTCCCAGCAGTGGACAATAGTAACAATCGATGGAGGAATTGTTCCCCTTTAAGCTGACGCAGTTTTCAATGGGCTATTCGAATGTAATATGAAAATTTTGATAGCTACAGCTTGCAGTATAAGAATGGTCAAAATACGAAAGAAAAACAAATTTGACAGCAAATGTTGTGCTACAGAGGGTCACTTAGTCTTTTTTCCATTGTCGCTCTATTTTAGATCCAAATGAAACCTTTCTAGATATAAAAGTGGTTAGCGAAAAAAGCTCTACAAATCCTGAAAGTTGGACCCGATTTGGAGGTGGTCACACTGTAACCGTGGTAGAGATTCCATGGAAATACCCACTAAATAATAGTGAATACCATGTTATTAGAAACACTATTTGAGTCGAATAGAATCTTTGTCATTCGTTTCGGCCTCTGGTATATAATAACAGTTGCGGTAACGTTCTTAAAGACTTTCCTGATAATTGAGAATTTGAAAGGATCGAATATGATCAACAATAAGCTAGCCCAATACGTAAAAATATGGTGGATATATTCATATTTATTTTCGGTAAATGATTCTTGAGCATACTATAATTGGTTATGGGCAAGTCCATGGGTATCCTACCACTTTTTGGAAAAAGGGTTTTTTCTCAATTTTGTTTTCGCCGAAAAGACCAAACAGAACTACAAAAACGTGTTTCATCAAAACAAATGGTAACTTTTTTGATAAAAATTGTGATTTCTAGGTCGTTTTCTCGGTATATGTCGTTGTTTTGAAGAGCTCTAGTGACTGCACACCAATAAAAGTGAACTAAAAAGATGAATGAGGTCTTCCAGGTCTTTTTACTTTTTTTCTGAATTGATCATAGGATTCTAAAAATACGTTTTGCATAGCAAAAACCGTGAGTAACGTCTAACGAAAAGGAGGGTGGGCGTTTTGTGGAGAAATCAGCTCCCTCGAAAAATGTGATAGTGTCTGTCTAAAACTCTTATAAACAATGTTTTTTGTACATTTATTCCTAAAAAGCTTGGTTTTCCAGTGACTAACCCAGTGGCATCAGTCCATGAATGTTGCGTATGCACATTGAGTTTAATCGCTAATAGTGATCAGAGTTTTCATCAAGCAAAAGGTGGGTAGTCGAGCTGATATTAGCATGACTCGATAGAACTTTTCAAGCGCTACAATTTCTTATATGATCATATACTAGAAGTATTGATCGATAGGAATTCATATACACCGTCTCTACATCGTGTATACAAAAAATCAGTTATCTTTTGAGTTACTTATTGAAAAAAAGTGCCTATGTCAATGTTCACCTCTAGTTTTGAGATGGTTGGATAAAAATTTCCAAGCGTTACAAAAGGGTGTGGGTGTGTAGGTGTCTTCTACTGCATTCATCGACATCCCCACCCACACTTTTCTACTTATTATACCAAAATATGATATTAAACGTATTATTTCAGCTAAAGAAGATTCAACATCGCAATGGAATGATAATGACCTATGTATTTATTATGTATTAAACAAAAATGGCTTCAACGATTTCCATTAAATAGTAAAAATGAAGCAGAGAAATGTACCCAATCTATCGATTTGGCAATTGGTTCGTTCCTAGACAAAAATGAAGTATGTTGAAAAAAACGAAACGGTCAAAAAAAGAGTAGACTTCTTTTTTCTTTTGTAAAGGCTCAACAATCTAAACGAAAAAACAAAGGATACGTCAACAGATCATAAACGAACAAAAACTTTATCAACATTTGAAGAGAAATGTAAAAAGTCGATCGAACTAAATTTAACATATTAGAATACGCAACTCAACTTCTACATCTTATTTCGAATAAAAACAATAAAAATTTACCGACACTTAAACAATTACAATTTCTTGAACATGATATACTTCGTTTTTATTGGACGTCAAATCAACAGAAAACATGGTCTGATGTATTAAATATAATTAGTCATGTTTTTTTAAATGAATTAAATCATGATTTTCGACAGTCTTGTTTTAAAAAATTATTAGAAATGAATGACAATGATTGAAATGAAATTGGAAGATTATTACAAGTAAAATCATTAGATTGTTAAATATATTTTGAAGATAGTCAACTGTAAAAATGTGTTTGTGCTTGTTCGTATAAACCAACACATATGTGTTATATTGGATTTTGTATATATTTTTTTCTATTGAAATAATATACTTCGGTGAAAAACTAGTAAAAACCCTTGTTCCTGATGTATGTAACGCTTGTTTTGTTTGTAACTATTGAATCCAGCTTACCCGAAAGATTCCAGCAAACATGTCTATTTGTCTGTAACTGCCTAATGGGATTTTGGTCTGCCATAGCATCTATCATTGGATAAATAATTCTATAGGACTATACATTTTACCTAAACGCAGATAGCTACGCTTTGTTTCTCGCAATAGATTTCGTCTGTTGTCTTTTATGTTTCTGCGAAAGATATGTACTGGTTCGGATCCAGATGGTTTAACCTTACCGCTTAAAATTCTGATTCATAAGTTTCGGTCTTTTATTATTCTATCTCACTTTTGTTTATAAGCCACATTGAAATTCTTAGGTTTTTATCAAGTCATTGGGAGCGTGTCACACTGAATTCGTAATAAATAAATTCAGTCAAATATACAATCGAATGAAAAGAATTAATTGTTTTTAATTTATAGAAAATTCTAAACTATAACAAAAAAACAACCGATATATTGCGCTATCTAGCGAACAAGAGCAACTAATATTGTTCGATTGGTTCTTATCATCATTAGGCAGCTATAGCTAGGTAATTGTATGTGAAGATATAAGAAGTATCAGCTATCAGCTCATTTTATGAAATAAAATGAATTCATTCATAGAAAAAGTTAAAAATTTTCCACGAACATTCACATAACTTTATCAAAAAGACTTGTGTAAATTATTAAACAGATTTTTTCTCTATATAGATGCTATAAAAAAGATAGTGTCATCTTATTCATCTCTTAATAATCGTTATTATGATTCTGTGCATCAATCACATGAGAATAATTCTCGATCACAAGGGTGGGTGTGGGTGTGACTCTGAGGGCGGCACAATACTAAACCACACAATGACACCCATAGGAATTCACATCCTCAAGAAGCGGTGACAAGTGTAGTCCATCACATAGATCAAGGTCGATCCTAAGGAAAAAAATATTTCATCACTGGTGTAATAATCGGATAGTTTTGAAGTTTCGAGTGAGTCGAACATAGAATCTATTGATTGTTCTCATCTAAAGATATTCTCAACAAACTATGTAATGAATGCATATAATCTATTATTCTTCAGTGGTTTCGCTTTTTTGTCTGTGTTTTAGATCGAAAATGTCAAAGGCACTCCACAGTGGAATTGAGTTCTTTTCTGTTGAACTATGGCGAGAAGTTTTTGATTATTTCAATTCAAATGACTTATGGTACTCATTTCATAATTTGAATAAAAGAATTAATACAATCATTGATCAAACAATGTTACATTTAAACTTTCAAAAGCAAGGCAATTATGATTATTGCATGAAAAATATTTTACCATCAATAAATGCTGCTAATATCCGATCATTAAAATTAGAAAAATCCAATGAAATAAAACATTTTTTCTCTATCTATTCTCTTAATTCATTGATTCAACTTCGTTTACTATCATTAACTTTTATGAATTCTTTTAATGATAATTCATTTCAATTCTGGAATCAACTTTCATCTTTGAAATATCTACAATCATTGAAAATTATGTTTCGAGGCTATTCGGGGTGCGGTTACTGCATCGAAGAAAAGGAATATATTATTCGTTCGATATTTAATAAAGATTTTTGTCCCTTATTAAAATCTTTTATCATCGAAGCTTGTAGTAGAAGAAGTTGGAAGTCCACAATTCCTTCGTTAATAACAACAACTAAAGCAACAAATATACAGTATGTGTCGATTGACTCGTTGGCTTTTATTGATTTGGTTAAATTACTTCCTGCTTTACAAAATGTTAAATCATTTCGCTCAGATCACGAGTTAAGTTATGATAATAAACAACAGCAAAACATGACAATTACAATGCCATTGCTGTCGAAATGTATTCGACTACATCTACACTTATCAGAAGATATGACATTTGAACACGTCGAATATTTATTAAAACATACACCAAATTTGCAGAATTTATTTTTGTGGAGTTGGTATCATTTACTGAGTGCAAAAAAATGGGAATTGATACTATCAGTACAATGTCCGAAATTGTTAAAACTTGCATTAATATGTACTGGACCCTTTGGAGATGATTATTTTCATCAAGCATCAAATGATTTTCAGCAAGAATGTGCAACAATCCCGTTTTGGGTTGAACGAAATGTTGCAATTACAGATGATGAAAATTATTCGGCTGATGATTATCGTTCTGATATTGTAATTCGATTTAATATTAAAAGAGTAACATAAAAACAGTAGTTTTAAATATCAACAATTCACTTATAGTGATAAGTTTAAAACTTTCTCTGCGCACAACTAAAAGAGTCTGTGTCAGTTGATCTGCTTAGGCCATGTATAACTAGATCTATCGTCTCATATTTTTTGCAGAATAATCAATTCTCTGTAACTAGATCTTTTTATTATGAGAAATGTTACGAATATTATGAGTGAATAAGAGAGAGAGAGAACAGAAAAATATCTTGACGACGATAGATCTCATTGGCCAAGATAAATGACTCTCCTTATTTTTCGGCGTTGTTTTTTTCGCTGTTGTTCTATCTGTTCTAAAGTTTCAGTCGTAGACAGTGAGAATTCGTTCAGAAATCTATTTACGAATGGTTGTGACAAAAATATGTAGTTAAGCTTATTTTCCTATCATTTCTAGTTGACATAGGTTGCATATGAGAACCAGACACTGGACAAGTAAAAGTACGAGTATTTTTTACTTAACACATGTAATTCGGACTTTACTTGAGTACAATATACTTAAGTACAAGTGTACTTAGTACCGGTACTATAGTACATCATTCAAGTACAAATTAATATGCAGATGCTAATTACAATAGTTTGCGTTTTAGCATCTTTTATTTTGATCATTTGAGAACGTTTGTAATCACAATTAAACGATTAATGATACTTAGAATTATTGAATGACTTTATTTCCGATAATTATTTGGTACAATGCAATTTTAAGTATGATAATAATAATCACGAATAGAAAAAGACCACTGGGATCGTAAAAACTGAAGCTATTGAGAGGTTCACTTACTTACACATGTCAAGTCAATTTTTCCACATGCTTATCTCGGTACATCATTAGAATGAAAAAATATAAGCGAATAAGAGCTTCAGTGAAGAGTATGTTTCGAATTAATGTTCGCTATATAATAAATCATTTCATTGGTTTTTATCAATTTTATTACATGCTATTTGAAATCAAACATTTACTCTTCATTTTTGTGTTTATTTTCAAATTATTGAATGCTTTCTAATAAACAATTATAGCGGTAGGCATCACATTTTCAAAGAGGCTGCGACCAACGATAAATCACATTTCAGCTCATCTGGTATAGTGTAATTCATTTTTGAGGGCAAAATAAAAAGATCTTTTTGGAAGCGTGAGTGAATCAGTGATTCATGAGTGCTCATTTTCTATCAACTAAATCCATGAAGAAGCAATTCTAACACCTCTTCTGTGTATGCCTGTACAGACAAAATATCATACCGCAGAATACCATGCCATTTAAGGGCAAATTAAATGTGAAAGAAAAATTGTATGCAACAATAGTGGGATACTTGTTTACGAGTCAAAAATACCGGCGAGTTACGAACAGAGACAAATTTGTCTTATCCGAATTGGAGTATTGGCCTAATATCAAGATAGTTTTTCAGAGCGTAATTTACTTTGGAATAAACTTTGGAATTCAAGTAATTTCAATTCTACTGCCAAAAATTACTTTGTGCTCACAGTTTTCTAAAGAGAAAGTACAAAAGTGCCAAGTATAATACTCAGTATCCAGTGTCTGATGAGAACATTTCAAGATCTTCTCATCTACAGCCTATCTCTGATAGGTAACTAAGTAACATTCAACAATTCAAATAGAACTAGAAACAGTAAGGAACAAAGCAAATTTACAAGTTTTTTTTCGCAATCATACATTTAGTACTTAAGTATATGACATACATTTACAATTTTCTCAACGAATCCTCATTGTTCATGACTGAAATTTTGACAATATAAAGATCAAACGACAGTATTGTGAAGACATTTTTCTGTTTTCTCTCCTTTTAAGTAGTTACCACAGACATTTATTCACTCATATTATTTGTATTCTTTAATGACGGAACTCACCTCTTATCAATTTACTACAGATTTTAGGTAAAATCATCAGTTTAACGATCTACAGCATCTCATAGATTGTTTTCGACAGATGCGATGTGGTAAAGCGACGAAAGATGAGTCTCATAGTGCTTTGAATTCAGAGCTACGAAGACGTGTTTTTACGAAAATCAGGCATACTTCGAACCATAAAAAATAGTGCAACAGTGCCTTCAAACAACTTCGCATTTCTTTTTTTCTTATTTTTCTTCTAAGTTTAGTTAAAAAAACCTATTGGTTACAAAGAAACAGTCAAATGACCTCCATACAATATATGTGACCCTATAAGGGAACATTTTTTCACACTGTGCTTTCTCTTACATGTTTCTTGTTTTTCGCTACTTGTTTTCTCAAACTTTTTTTTTGAGTTTGCCTTTCTTTTTTTTCTTGTCAGTTCAGCTGTTACTATTATCACTTCATAAAATGCTGTTTTCTAAACAACGGTATTGTTCTAACGCCGACTCCACCGTTTTTCGTTCCATTTAGACGCGTGTTTTGGGCGAAACGATTGTAAAACATCCATGGAGGCGTTTCTATATTCTTTTTCACGTTTCTTGTGTGCCCGGGCACTACTAAGAACGTCTGTGCATATTTCACAATAAGAGTTTGTTTTCGAAACAATTAAATGTGTAGAACCAATAGATGCGAATACATGTGCATTCGTAAGATTGTGGATAAACAGCACGTTTCTGCATCGTCCGATTCTGGTGCATTCTTCATTAGGTGGCTAATGAAGCACAATCAACACAGAATCGTTGTTTTGCTGGATGGCTACTCAAAGCATTGAGAACATTGCTTGTCGCTCAGTCAGTCGAAAAATATCACTTCAAATGAACAGGCAAAGTTATCGGATTTCTTCCAGAATAATGAGACGAGAACGTCATCGTCGATGGGAACAAGTCCAGAAAGGCAAGTACGCTTGAGCTTTTGAATTCTATAATCGAGCGTTACAGACATATGAGCAATGTGTAAATTCAGATTATACAATACCATGTCAAGTTCGTATTGCGATGGGTAACAACTATCGTTTGCAATGCAAATATGAAGATACATTGGTTCAATTTCAACGAGCGTTGAATATTAGAAGTTGTTGAGAAGAGTTCTGTACTAGCCGATATCGGCATCACATTTTCTAGTGTTGGTGTTTCTAGACTCAGTATTCAATATTTTCATCGTGCACTCGTTATAAAAAAAGAAATGTTTTCCCAAAGATCATCCCGACTTTGCCGCTGTGTTTGATAACATGACTTCCGATTGCAGTTGTTTAGGCAAACATTCGGTAGCACTGAATTATTCGTTAAAAGCTTTTTGTTGACGCAAGCGAATGCAACCATGGATAGTTTGAAGAGAACTATGGATTATCTCGTACGTGCACAAAATGTATTGAAGAAAACACTATCCGATGAACATCGGGATCGAGTCGAGGTGAAACATGACATTTTACAACTCAACAGAAAGATGCAAAAGGCGAAACAAAGAGTGCAAAATATCGATCCGAAAAATTACTGACATAATTGACCATTATTGCCATATTTTGTTTTACTAATGACTGAACTTGTTTGATTCATAGACTCTCAAAAATGTTAGGAACTATCGCCTCCAGATATTTCAAATTCAAAGATAATATTCGCTCAGTTATTTCAAGTTGTTTGTGTATAGTTCATTTGTTTTTGTGGAACTTAATATTGAAAAATCTTGCACGCTTGTCAATCATGTTTTAGTTTCTGTCACCAATAATAAAGAAAAAGCTTTCTACTCGATATAAAATGAGCCCAATTGGACCATAAACCGTCGTAAATATAGCTGGTAACTTGCCGGTTTGAGAGTCGCCGTATTCGGTTCATGGAAACAAAATCAGGCAGTTATTTCGTTCGAGCCCGTGTAGATCATGATTGATACATGTCTATTCGCGACAGAAAAGATAGAGCTAACACAGTAACGTTCGACTATCACCACATTGTCTTTTCTTCTGTTCTGTTCGTTTTTCATTCATTTGACGACGGCAGCAAAAACGCTTATCTATTAAACATCTAAACAAGCACACGCATACTCCATTTCTGTCTTCGTTTCGTAAAAATAGCGTCAGCGGTAAGGTAGACAACGGGCTCCACTCTGGGTATGGATGGTAGTTACAATACGAATTCAGTACACCAAATGGTTGCTATTTACGCTTCTATACCCTACATTCGAGAGGCCATCGATGTACTTGACATTTCTACTTCTTGTCCACTCTTTACTATTGCCGATTTTGGTGCATCACACGGGCTCAACTCGATGCGCGCAATGAAAATGATCATCGAATATCTTCGAGAGGCCAAAATGGTCGATGATGAACAACAACAAATTTTGGTTGTTCACAACGATTTGCCTATACTAATGATTGGGCATCTCTCTTCGAAATTCTTTCCACGAACACCTCATACTACGGGGTAGCTAGTGGACGATCTTTCTACGATCAATGTCTCCCCTCAAATTCCCTTTCGATCGGCTATTCATCGGCATCCCTTCACTGGCTCTCTCGTAAGCCGTGCAATTTGTCGAACCATTGCTACTGAATGTTTGCACAAGACGATGAACTTGTAGCATTCAAACATCAAGCTCAGTTGGATTATGCTCAATTTTTCGAACGCCGCTCGCATGAACTCATTTCAGGCGGTGTTTTTATTGTCAATATCCCGTTTATGGAAATCTAGAATCAACAAATTTTATCAGTGAAAGAAGTTTACTGTACAAATGTGCTCAAGCAGTGCTCTCTCCTGAACAACTACTCAATTTTACCTTTTCGGTCTATCAGCGATCCTACGCGGAATGTGTCGATCGTGATCTCTTTGCTCGATGCTCAATAGAGTTGATCAGAGCGGACATTGTCAGAATTGAATCACCTCAATACGCCGATTTCGAAAATGGTCAAGTGAAACATGATGAATTCGCTCGACCAATCGCTAAAACGATACGCAGCTGGTCTCAATCCGTGCTCAGACAAGCATTGGAGATCAATGGGAAACCGTCGACCACAGACGACATTATCATGGCTCAATTTTGGACTATTTATGAGAAAAAAGTCAAAGAGTGGCCACAAGAATTCAACACATGCGTATGCCTCATGTTTCTGACTTTGAAGAAAGCCAATGCAATGGAAATAAAGTATCAATAGAAACAAGTATTGGGGATTATGCACAATCAACATCCGATGGATCTTTAATAAAAGAAACTTTCTTTTCTTTTCAATCCATCGATGCATTGTCCGCGATTTCTACAGCCATAATTATTTTCTAGTTCCAGACTTGCAGTTAAAACTTAGTTAATTGTAGCTTAACTATGTAAAACAAAAGAGACATTTTGTCATAATACACTCAATGAAGTGTCTAAGTGGGTGACCATAAAAGAATCACATATAAGCGATGCGTGATGTGCTAAGGAGATGACGTTAGAATATCAGCCTTTATGCAAAAGTTGTCATTTATTTTTGCCAGTTCGATTTCTATACTTTCTTGAAAATCGCATCAAGTTTCCATTCCTTAATCATGCATCCCACGCGGACCCTGGTACATATGTCTATGCACTGATAAAAGTGATTTATCGACACGCTAAATCTTATTATTTTCCAGTATACGTCAGAAGCCGACTCTACTGTTGAAATAGATTTTTATCAATCAATCATCCGATTAACATATCCCCGTGTCTTTGTTTCTGATATATGCACGTGTACTGACACGAAAAGATGTGTATGTATGAGTCTACTTGCTTTGCTTTATGTTACTGCATGCAATCTGAAGAGTTTAAATGTCTGCTAGGTGAGAGGAAAGCAAATATTGTTTCTTACTCTCGACAATGCTGAGATCTAATTCAAGGCGATAGCACAGTCGTCTTTTTGACTAGCCAGCGATTAGTCGCATCTTTCTAGGTCTCTCGGTTGAAATTTTCCGTATTTTGCACTTGAGTGATCTCGATTCTCTGCTCTTCTTTTTTCCGATATATTTTTAGTTCCTTTTGAGAATTTTTCTTTCATCAGTGTCTGAGTCAGGACTCATATACAATTTCTAGGTGTTCTTCGGAAATGCCTCCGAAAAGGGGAGATGGGGTTGCCGGTGATAAGCAGCGGAACCAAAGCCTCGACAACCAACTTAATCAATTAGCTGTTATAAATGACCATTCACAAGTTGGAAGACCGCCATTGGCTGGAAAATCTACTCAATCAAAATTTACTATTGCCCCCTCATTATAGAGGGAGTCAAGATCAGTAAACTACAATTTAGTCGATCTGGATGATTTACATTATATGCTAGTGGTGTTAGCTCATTTAATTGTCTATTAAATGAATCTACATTAATCCTTGCAGCAAACGGTCAACAAACATAGGATACAGAAACGGTCGCTTTCGTAAAGAGAGCCGACCTCGAAATACCAGAAAATCGAATAACAGAAGCATTAACGAAGTTGGTCTTGATTTTATTAATGCTACTCGATTAAACAGAAAAGATGGCAATAAACCAACAAGCACCATTAAAATAACATTTAAGGATGCAAAAAATCGAAACGCATTTATCCACACTGGACTGCAAGTGGATTCGATGCACTTTAATGCTGAAGCTGGAACTCAAAATAAAAAGTTAGCACAATGTTACATTTGTCTTCAATACAATCATATAGCTTAGTGCTGCAAAACAAAACAGCAAGTATGTACTCGATGCGGTGATAACCATCGCATTGAATAATGTACTGCTGCACATGATGCAATTAAATGTAGTAATTGTAAAGGTAAACATTCGGGCACTCCCAGGTCAATGATTCCGGAGGACGGATACTGTAGGAGCCGGCCGGAAAGATGCGGAAAAATCACCGTATCTGGCCGGAAAGCACGGGAAAGCACTGGAAACTGGAAGCAGTATTCCAGTTGGAAGTTACCGGATTTTTTTCCTGTGGATTTCGGTCAGTTTCCTGTGTTTTCCGGTCAGTTTTCTGTGTTTTACATCTGGAAGTTGATCGGAATCTACAGGAAGAAAATCCGGTAACTTCCAACTGGAATACTGCTTCCACTTTCCAGCGCTTTCCTGTGCTTTCCGGCCGTTTCCCGCCGTACGTCCACGACCTGGGCTGCTAATGGCTCTCCTAATGTTTTTGAACAAGAAAAACGAATATTGAATTTAATTAATCAATATTCGTCCACAAGCAGCCCAACAACCAAAACACCATTACTACATGATACAAAGGAATTCCCATCATTACTACAAATACATATAAAGCATCAGCACAATCATCGATCACAACTAATGATAGTATTAAAAAACCAACACACAAACAAAAGCCAACCGCAAAAGCATCCAAAAGAAATCGATCTCTCGACAGTTCATTAGATTCGACGATAATGGACACTAAAGATAGCAAGACAGACACGAATAATGATTAGTATCTGTCAAATATCAATATTACTTTAATTTTAAAACACAAAGATGAACTTCTTGCCAGATATTTAACATATGGCATCATCTCGGTAAACAAAACTAATCTTAAAAGAGAACGCCAATTCGCTTTGAAACGTTACAATGTTTACAGAAATGATCGAGCAGGAAAATCTGAAGGTGGAGTAATGATAGCTGTTAAAAATCACATTAAATGTAATGAAACCCTTAATGAAACGATAGTAAAGATCATTACAAAAATTGTATGATGTCATTATGTCAAAAAGAAAATGTATTCTGAATCAGTATGGCTAACAGTAAGAAAATCCCATAAAAAAAGAATAAAACAATCTTTCCCTAGAAACATGAAACATAACAACATCGTAGTAACATTAGGCAAGGATAACACATATGTGTTCACTGAATTTTCCCAGAACGAAATCTATGTCTCTCCTAACGATACATTAACCATTTCATGACCAAACGTAACAAGACAAGCTAATAACATTAAACAAAAACTGAAGATAACATCAAATTTAAAGTGAAAGAGAATAACACCAGATGAAGTTAAGAGGCATATTAAACAACTTAGGAATAGTGCAACAGGCCCGGATAACATTCATAGTAGATCTTTGAAGAACTACACGTTGCAACTAGTAAACCATTTAACTAAATTCTTCAATTCAATCATCGATGTGGATCACATTCCAAACACATGGGAAAAGGCTAACATTATTCTTCCATTGAAATCAAATAAAGACAAGCAACAGCTATCAAGTTATCGTCATATAAGTCTATTAAGCTCCCTTGGCAACTTATTGGAACGTATTATTAAACACCGTCTGTTGTAAGTATTAAATATTCGAAACATCCTGCCTCAATACCAAGGTGGGTTTCGTCCGACAAAAAGCACTATGTATAACATCGTTCGACTCGAACGGTACATTAAAAGCCAAATGAACAATAACTCAAAGACGAAAATACATATGACAGCAATCTTCTTCGACATTTAGGCTGCTTTTGACTCAGTTTGGCACGATGGATTAATATACAAATGTAATGATTTACAACTAGCAACATACATCATTCACTATCTCATATCATTCCTTGAGAATAGAACTTGTGTCGTTGAATTGGGCAATACGTTATCGCGGTCGTTCGCTGTCCACAGTGGGACTCCTCAAGGATCACTATTATCACCATTAATTTATATTATTTACACATTCGGCTCGATGAATACAATCCCAGCACATACAGAACATGGTCTCTTTGCCGATGATACTGCGTTATGGACAGCTTCGCTTCAACTTACACACTTAAATAATAGGCTTCAACAATCAATCAACGAGTTTGAAAAGTGGTGCAAAGCATGGAAGCTAACGCTACAACCGACGAAGACAGAACTAGGATGTGGATGTGACTGTGCAGTAGAAGAGCACCCACCCACCCCCACACACACCTCAAGATTTCAACTAGTAGTATGCCATCATGATTTTGTTTTTGACTTTTGTTACACTAAATTGATTTGTTTAATAAAAGAAAGCATCATTTTGAAACATTCCGATTTCTTTATAATTAAATATAGTATATGTAACCGCGAAGGTTTTTTTTCATAATTGTTTTCATTGAAATAATAGTAAATTTTATTAACGTCTGTTTAAGAAAGATAATTGTTTTAAATGCTGAAATAGTTGTACTATCCCCATGTTATTAGATTTTTACTATTTTCTATATTAGTATATACTATCATATTAGGCTACCCAAATAGACAAGAATTTCCAAACACGTGTCTAAACGCCACAAAAAACGATTCTTATGGCATTTGAAGGCACACTTCTGAAAGTGACCGTGTAATCGTTAACTAATTCATGATTGTTAATGTTCAAACGCCAATAAATTTTTGATCGACTATTATGATGTGTGAAAATGGTAGAATTTTGCAGCTTAGGACAAGATAAACGCTCTGTTTTTTAAGTTTGCGTGTTCACGAGTCAAAAGTCCTTATATACAACCTTTTCTGAACGGATTTTTTGAAGATTTTCAGGGCATAAAAAAAATCACGTGATGCAAGATTGGGATTTTCATGAAATAAGACATACTGTTGTCCTATTGAGTGAAATTGAAATATTTGTTAAAATAAAGAAGTTACTCAGAACTGTTTGTGTGTGTGTTTTTGCTAAGTTTCTTATAAAACAAAACAAAAACTACTAGAGACTTTGAAAGATCACTCAATCTGAGATTATTAAAATCGTTGAATTATACTCAAGCAAACAATATTCAGTTCGATTTTTTGGGTTTGGGTGACAGATGCGGATGAGATAGCATGCCTGTCACTCACTCACACCCTCGAATTATGTTATTGTATGGTAATTCACCTGAGCAAAGTTGATTTTGTCCATCGTTCATGATGGGATCTTCTGGGGTCCTCCATTTAAATTTCAATGATACTTCTGTCTTGTAAGTGTTACTAGATAGAATACTAATAAAAACCCTAAAAGTATTCTTTTTTCATCCTTTCCTTTCTCGAGAGTAGACGCACGAGCGCTTGCTTGCATTTTCCTCGCGACATCCTCCTCCTCCTCCTCCTAATCCTAATCTTGTTCAATGAGGAGCGAAATTAACGGTATAATTATCGTTATGATAAGAAAGATTCATCATCAAATCTGAAGCTAAATTTATCTATTAACGAAATGCCAAAAGAGAATCCACAAACAACTGTCTGTGCTTTTGATACATCAGGTGCCTATAATCTGGAAGAAATGATCGCTTTCATTCGTCAAAATCTAAATGTCGTGTTTAGTGTTCATGAATATCTTACTCACCATACTCATCCTCACCGTCTGAATACTCCAACTCAATCATCACTCCTCAAACGCCTTAACAAAATTTAGATTCAGGTGATAATGATGGAGCACAGATATCAAAACAACAACGGGTGTTATCGAACGGTAAACAAAAACAGACTCGTGAAATAAATTTATCGCAGGTTCCAAGTCCTGTCAGTGGTGTCACATATCCAAGATTTTGGAGATGCCATCACATCTCCCGCTGGAAACGTGACACCCACATTCAGGAGATGCGGTCATTCATCACTGGAGATGTAAGATCTCCTTTAGAGATGCGCATCCCCCGCACACACACCCGCATCTCTTGTGTGAGATGCGACATCTCCTGCGGGAGATGTGATGCATCTCCAAAATTCTGGATATGTGACACCGCTGAGCCCTGTACACGAAATGAACAGTAATCTGCAATTGGACCAACCTCAACAACAAGCATCCAGAACAACAACAATAACAACAACATCGAATTCACGTTGAACAGTTAAGACGTGCTGTTTCAAGCAATCTTCCATGCTTTTTTTTATTGAATACGAGGGTGTAGGTGTGGGATGGAAATTCGGGCGTACGAAGCTTTTTGTGTGTAGAAATTGGTTTTAGCTGGTGCTAGGTTTTCAGTTGTCCTCCGAGAAACCCACCCACACCCACACCGACCCTCTAGTTATTGTTCTTTTTTCTAACAATCTGTTTCCGTATCATTGCATCATTTTATGAAATCAATCATCTCCTTTTATTTCGATAGACGTCTTGAATTAAAAATCATTGCATTTTATAAAATTCAATAAAAATACTATGAAAGTATATCGATCCATCGAACGAAGCGACTGTACTTCAATGAATTCTTTCAAACTTTTGTATACGAAAGTTATATGTGTCTGTGACATATAAATTAAGTTCGGAATCAAACGCTACATCACGTGGAAAATGTAGTTCTTCACTACTGTTTCCTATTCGTCCTGTACCGGCAATCGTTATACCATATACAGCACCCGGACAAAACATTTGTATTCGATTATTCATACAATCAGTAATATATAAATTACCATATTGATCAAGCACTAAACCTTGTGGAGAATTTAATTGAGCTGCACTACTACCAGGTCTTCCAGGGATGCCAGCATATATATTTTTATTTCCATAAGCTTCCAAATTCCATTGTGTTACTGAATGGGATTCTTCGTTTGAGATGTACAAGATATTATTTGGTTCGTCGAGATATATTCCAGTTGGATTATTTAATTGAGATGGATTGAGGCCTGCACCGTTACCACCCTAGAAACGAAATATTCCTAGTTTTAAGTGTTTATGACTGCTGTCGAGGATATACAAATCTATCTGAATTTGAATAGCTTCAGAGATATTTTTACGAATGATTTCTTTTTAAATATCTAGCATATCATTTCCGAAAATATAACTAATAGCTTACAGCAATGATTGTACTATTAGACGTTTTTGGATCTTGTGCAAAGGGCTTTTGTACAACACGTTGGTTTTGTAAATCAGCAACTATTATATTTGTTTTTGAATCAATTAAAACTTGACTTGGATAACTGAATTCATTTAATGCTGAACCACGTGTGCCAGTTCCAGCTACTGTTTTTCCACTTTGAGCATTTTTTTCCCAATATTGAATTCGTTGATTACTCCAATCAGCAACAAAGACATTTTCATCTTGATCTGCAACGACATCCTTTGGACCCGATAGTTTCTCTGATGATGATCCACTTGCACCATTTGATTGACCAGCAGCTGTTTCTATTCTACCATCTGGATAACGTTTTTGAACACGATTATTGCTAACATCAGCTACATATAAAATTTGTGTTGTCGGTTCAATAAATAAGCCTTGAGCAAATGCCAATTGATCTGGTCTTGAACCATCACCGTTGCCCATGATTGTCGTTCCTGTTTTACTCCATTGAAGATTACCTGGGCCTGAAATTTAAAGAAAAACATATGGGATTGACTAAATATCTTTTCGCTTTTTGTTCCTGCTTCAAAGATTTCAGAAGTTGAATATGTAAGAAAAGACTCTTTATATAATCGAGTTTGGATTCGAAAATCGGTAAACAAGACAGAACCTAACTATATAATATCAAAATGTTATTAAAAAATTGATGTGTACTAACAGTCGCTGGATTGTCTATAGACTGGTTGACCTAAAAGAAAGATAAATGCAATAGAATTTGATCTAGTTGTTAAAATTTTGTGATGATCTTACTATGATTTATTCCAATTATCCTACAAATAGTAAAGTTTATAGCGCTTTCCTGTTTTTAACTTAGTTATATATTGTCTTTTATACTCACATGAATATGCATATAAAATATTGTAATATCATTTTCATTCACTATTTTATTTTATTCTTAGTGGTTAATAAAAGAAGAACATTTCTGTTCCTCACGTATTGCTATATAGATAAATATATTGTATGCTACTTTATCTATGCTTCATCATGTGTCTTTAAACATTTTTTTCGTGTCAAATGATGACATAAGATTATATGAGTTAAATAACAGCTCGATTCTAGAGGTTTAGTAGAGCTTTAGCTATTTTTAATGAAAATATTCAGTATCAACGAATCAAATCAACGTCAATACAATTAGTGAAGGATCAAGCAAAAATCAATAAATAAATTTGAAAACAAAATTTTCTTAAATTGTATTTCGACGTGTTGCTCTTGCTAGGATATGAGTGCGATGAGGAGATCCACTAGGAGAGCCACACCCACGCGCTCAGGTTGTTGAAGAAAAATATGGAATTGTCATTCATACGGCAATAGAATACATTCTAAATGGTTAAATATTCACTTAAATCGATTTTCGAGGCAGTTCTAGATATTACGACATCTTTAAAATAGCTGAAAAAACAAACAGAGGATTAATTGATTTCATATTACATTGTTTTATTGGACCTTATTGTTATACATAAAATAAATAAAAATACCTTTTATTTATTTTCACTTAGGTTTTCGTTTAATTGTCATAAACATTGAACTGTATTTCAAAGTAATATTTAAAAAAGAAACTATATTTAAATCAAAACTATGGCAGCAAATCAAGTTCAAGTTCGTCTTCAAAAATTACTCAACAATGAATTATCATCACATGATAAAAAACTCCTTATTTCTGCGTATGATGCTTTAGTTAGTATTCTTCAAACGCCTGAAATGCGTAAACAATTGTCTGAAGAACATGAATTACTTTTTGAGTGTATATCGAAAATAATTCTCACGTCATATAATAAATATTTTCATGGTGATCAATTACGTTTTTTACTTGATTTAACATCGAGTGTATGTACTTTATCAATGTCACAGAATCAAATAATTGATAATTGGCTACAAAATATCGAAGAACGTACATTTGAAAAACAAGATTGTTATAATGATGATGATGATGATGATGATAATTTAATTGAAAATGGAACTGAAAGTGGAAAAGGTGGAAAAAAAAGAAGTATTCAAAAAAGTAATAATAAAAATAAGCAACGTTAACATAAGCAGACTTAGAATGATGATTCATCCAGTAATGATTTGAATTCAGTATCATCAACAGATAACAGTCAACTATTAACATCTATGAGACGGAATGAATTTTTATATTTCGAATATCTTGAATAATATAGAATTAATATCGAGTTAAAGTAATATTTCTACTGTAGATCTACGTGATAAATTCACCCGACTGGTAATCTCAATTCGAGTCCATTCGTAGGACTCTTGATATAGATAAAAATCGGAAAAATCATTTTCACCGTAAAGTTTTGGCTTTCGAGTTAAGGTCGTTTTAATGAGTTTTCAGTTTATTGAAGGATATTACAAGAAAGATGATATAGCATGTAGGTTTGAGCTGAAATTCATTATATGGATCATAACTCAAGAAGAAAGGCGTAATGACACAAATACGTTCAAATTTTTTATCTTTACTACGATTAGAGACCTGCTGAATCATATGCTTTCGACTTCGACTCGTTTCTATGAACAAAATATGAATTCAAACGGATACTATTAGTCAAATGGGTTCCATTGTTACATTCGGTTCTTTTTTTTTATTAGTTTTAAGTAGAAAACCTCCGGATATTGATCATGCCTGATCCATCTCGAAATTATAACTAAATGACAACTTTATGACTTATTTACAGGTTACTATCAATATTTTTAGCAATTAAAGTATTTTATATCTAGAATGAAACGATGTGTAGTGAAATACTAAAAGCAACAATAATCTTTCTTTCTCTAATGAAAACAAGTTTGATATGACACACACGAACCATTCCTGGTAAAAGTTTTATTAGCTATGATTTTTCTTAGTAAATTCTTTTAAGAAATTCTCTCGAACATTCCGCTATTAGAAAAGGTTTTTTGTTTGCATATTCCAAATTTACTAACGATCGGGATAACAATTTTGTACTAATTTTGTTTTTGATGTATCGTTGTAATCAAGTCTCTTGGAAATTTCACCTTTGTTATATTAGAAACAGCGAAGTGTCTAGTGCATAAATATAGAAATGAGTTTCATTGGAAATATTTGATAGATGCTATAGAAACTTTAGAACGTAAAACATTGAAAAACGATTCTGCAGCTTTGGCTCGGTTTATTTCTTTCTTTTTCTTCATCATCAGGCAGTGTTTTTTAGACTCGTATATATATAGTCTAGCATACAGAAGAGTATATCATCAAAGCATATTATTCTTGTAGATTTACGGTTTCCCATACGAAAATAAATGTCTGATTGAATATCTTACAAAAAAATCTGTATCCTATTTCAAATAAAATCGTGCAATACAAAGAGGATGAAATATATAGTTTTCAGCAATCATTCTGTGTGACTATGATAGAGAATGATGAATAATGGAGACATTTAGCGATAGGATTAAAACGTTCGTTTCAGCTATTGTAAAAAATGCAAAGGGATCTTTTTTGTGCTACCAGTCTTTACTAGTCGTACTTTGTAAAACTCGAATTAAACGAGTAAAAATAAGAGTGGTCAAATTAAATGAAATTTTTTCCATGTTCTAAAAATAGTTGCGGAATCATTGCACTTCAAACTTTCTGTAGCTTCTATCAAACATTTTCAATGAAATTAATTTGAATGTTTTTTTTACTAGACACTGTACTCTCTTTCCAATAAAGAAAAAGATGAAATTTCTATGAGATTCCATCACGGTGCTACATTAAAAACAAAATTAATGCAAAACTTTGTCTCACATTTTACACGGCTAACGGTAGTGTTTAACTAGCAGTTCTTCTAAATAAGGATTTATTGCGCTAAATTTTTCGAATTATCTCGAGTAACTTAGCACATAATGTTAATCACTTTACTAATGTAGATCATCGAAATTCTGAGCCAACTAAAGTACATGAAGCTTCAGCTCGTGGAAAAAACAATCGAAAATCACCAAGGAATGATAGTACAAATAATCTTAGCAAAGGATCTAGCAAAAGCGCAAATAAAAAACGCTATACGGTTCCATTCAATAATAAATCTAATGCCGATCGTCAATTTAGTAAGTCGTAAAAATATTTTATATATTCTTTAAAATAAACAATCTCTATTTTAGATCATAGCTACATTGGCGGTGAATATGGTCATGTTCGTACTGATTCAACCAATGAAAAAGAATCTCCTATCGAAATAATTCTGTCAAAAAGAAGTCAAAGTCGATTTGCACGAATTTGTAGGAAATCAAGAGAATTAATTGATGTGTGGTATAACGTTGAAAAACGAAATAAAAAATTTAAATTAAATCTTTCACGTATAAGAAAACTTCAAAAATTATACGGAGAAAATCTTTCAACAATTTTTCATGAAAAAGAATCAATATTTTATTCGCTTGTTTGTCATGTTGCACAAAATGATTTTTTATTTGGAAATGATCAATATTTAGCATTATATGATTTGAAAAATATTTTATTACCAGAAAAATATTCTTTATTAAATCGAGATCGTTCAATATTTTGTCGACAACGTACATTAATACCATTAAATGAAATCACAGAACATATTCAAACGAAACCTGTAATTCAACAGACAATATTTAACGATTTTCAAGAATATATTATTCGTTCAACATCGCCAATATTATTTGATTTAATTAAATATTTATTGAAATCAAATATTTTTATAAATATAGAATATTTAGAATATTTTTCAAATAGAATTTTATTTGATATGAAAAAAGATATTTTTTCAAATGAACAACTTGATGAACTTCATAGATATTGTGGTAATCGTATGAAACGTTTTGAATGTAATAATCGAGAACTGTGGACAGAACGTTCAATTTTATTTCAAAATGATAAAACGATACAAAATGATCTCAATCAATGGATTTTAGCATTAGATCAAGTTTTGAGTACAAATCTTATTGAACAAATAAATGACGAAAAAATTGTTGTTCAACATTCTTTCTGGTATTCTACTATCTTAATAATGGCTAGTAGTAATCATTTGAATAAAGATCAATTTGAACGTGTTTTAAAGTCAGGTATTCAATCAACATTATTTAATTCAATACAAAAGTTCTATTTACAATATTATTTAAATGAAGGACATGCACCAATAACTATTAATGAATTAAATCTAATCAAAACTCAATTAGAAAATCAAAATATTAACGAGAAAAAATTAGCCTATGAACAAATGAAAATCATACTTGATAGATCAAAACCAGAATTTAAGAATGAAGAAGTAAATAAATTTTTTTCTTGCTTTATTTAGTTAGAACAATCTTATTCAAAAATTAATAGTATAACTAAAACTAATGATTCGGTTACCTAGTGCGATTACCGGTAGAAATGTCGAAAAAACAAATATTGATGTAAAAAAATGATCGAATAAGTGTTTTAGAAAATTCTGACATGAAAGAGAGAGAGAGAGAGAGAGAGAGAGAGAGAAAGTTCATTTATTGTGTACGTTAATACTAATATATGGTTATCAACGGAGTCACACGTTTTGATTCAGAAACCCGCCCCGATTCCAACTTCGAAAAACTGGAAAGGTTTTTATAATTTATTTATAAAAGTTAGTATAATATTTCATGGGTAAACTTGCTTTTAAAAAATAGTAAAACTATTTGACTATTGTACAGATATAGCTCGAGGGTGAGGGTATGCACATTCCGTTAACAAACATTCACACTCACACCTTAATTACTCTTTGTCAGTCTTGTTCACTGTATTACTCGTGCTTAGAGTCACCATTTCGTTTATTTCTAAGTTAAACATTTTTTCATTTTCGTATTTCTACTGCACACCCCTAATGCAACATAATGATTGAAACATTTTATTTTTCACTTATGTCTCGACTTAAAGAAAAAATAAGATATTTCAGCTTTTTTAACGATGTGCTTTCGAAAAGTCTACAGACGCTATATCATCAACTTCTAATTATACTGCCATACGAGTTATTAATCGAAGTTTCTTGATACTGTGTTTTCTAGATCTTTTTAAAAGAAATGCAAGATTTTCCAGATCAATCACTCTAGATCGAATCGGATGGCTCGAAATATTCGATAATTGAAGATCAAAGTGAGATTTGACAGTCTCAGTTACTACTTGGAAGAGTTAAATTTTTTCATATTGAAAATGCTCATTCTTTCAGCTCTGAGAATCTAAGAAAGGGATATTCACGAATAACCCAAAGAATCTATCAATCCTTCTGACTCAATCCAAACGCATATTCGAAGAAATTCGATAGGCTCTTCACCAACATGAGTGTGACCATACATATATTATTCTTCTTATACACCTCAGATTTTCATGTATACCGCTTGGTTGTTAGTTTACATAATAGGACTTGATCCACTTTGCTTTGTTCTACAACGTACATATCCTGATAGTCATACTCGATGTTGAGTTTTTCTTGTTTGTATCGATCAGTCGGATATAATGAAAGTTTATCGAAGACAAAATGTAAACGTTCACAATAAGGCTTCTTATTAATTAATCACTTTTTGAATCGTTCATGACATTAGTTAATCAAGATATTTTTGTTGAATTCCATTCTTCTAGTTCAAACAGTTAGACGATTTAATTCCAATGATTCATCATCATGTTCTACATCGTTTGATTTCTCTTGTTGAACTGATTTTTTCGCATACAAATATATTTTCAAAAGAACAATTACAAGAATTACTCGATAAATTTCTTTATCAATCAACAATTGTTCGTCCATTACCATCTAAAAAAACAAAAAAGTTACTCGCATCTTATTCTCGTTCAATATCATTACGCGAATTGGAAACTAATTGTCTTTCACCAAAATCAGATCTTAGAAAATGTATACTATTACTGAGAAGTAGGCGATTCATGGAAAAAGATGGAGCATATGATCTTTTGGCTGAATCAATTATAAATATATTTAAAAATCGACAAAAATTTTCCAATGAACCATGTCAAGAGTTAAAAAATCTTCTTGACGAGAAATTTTTAGGAAAAGAACGTTATTATTTGATTAATGAAGCTTATAAAGAGTTTCGTACAAATAAAAACAATCTTCTAATATTTAATCGAACGATTCTCAATCAATTATTAAATAAAATTCTTTTAAAAGATTATCAAGTAAATGAACAAATTTTATTTACAAAAAAATGATCTTATTTTATTTTCAAAGGCTCATTTAGACTTTATTAATGTATTAGAAAATATTTCACAATCGATTGATTTCAAAGAGATTTCAGTTGAATTTGAAATCAATCGTTGTCTTTTAACAGCAATCATTTTAATTATAATCGATGCTGATTATTCAAACTCATCAGATTTACTTTTGTGTCAACAACGTTTAACAACAATAATAGAAAAGCAAATAATTTTTTTTCCATTACTTCTTAGTGAACAACAATATGAACTTATTACATCACCTTCAACAGTAACAGCTGATATTGATCTACTTATTAGTTTATTAAAAACAACTTTAAATGAAAGCGATCTTCTAATAATTAATCGAACGCTTCTCAATCAATTATTAAATAAAATTCTTTTAAAAGATTATCAAGTAAATGAACAGACTTTATTTACAAAACAAATTTCTTATTTTATTTTCAAAGGCTCATTTAGACTTTATTAATGTATTAGAAAATATTTCACAATCGATTAATTTCAAAGAGATAACAATTGAATTTGAAATCAATCGTTGTCTTTTAACAACAATCATTTTAATTATAATCGATGCTGATTATTCAGTTTCATCAGAATTAATTTTGTTTCAACAACGTTTAACAACAATGATAGAAAAACAAAGAATTTTGTTTTCGTTACTTCTTAGTGAACAACAATATGAACTTATTACATCACCTTCAACAGTAACATCTAATATTGGTGTACTTATTAGTTTATTAAAAACAGATTTAAATGAAAGCAATTTTTCTAATTTAATTTATTTTATTCAGAATAGATTAAAACAAAAACCTGATTTTAGAAAATTAATTAATTTTTTAATTTATTCATTTGATAATGAGTTTTTGTCTATTAGACAAACACTTCAAATATCAAACTTAATTTTTCGATATTCAAAATTAAATAATAATAATTCTGAACATTTCCTTCAATTTCTTATCGAATTACTTCAATTGGAAATACATTCATCACCGAAGTTTTTCTTAAAACTAATACGGTGTGATCAAGAAAATGATGAAATAATCAGTCAAATAACAATTATGTTAACCATGCAAACCGGAACCTATGCTACTGTCGAGTGGAAAAGATCAATGCTGAGTTTATTACAAATTATCTTCGATAGATCAGATAATTATGAAGATTTAAAAGATATTGCTCTACGATCTTCAATGTTTCAAAAGGTTATATTTAGACAACAACTAGAATCTTATGCAAAGAAGACATCGGATAATCAGTCTGATGAAAATAAAGAACGTAAGATTAGAAATGGTACTACATATATTAAAAACTCTTCAAATAATATAGAGAATAACAAGAAAACCGACACAAAATATTATTAATTCAATCATATTGATGAATATAAAGCACCTAGCGATTGAACCCAGTGGAGTGGAATTAAGATTTCTCTCCGCCTCCTAGCTCGAAATCTCTGCTTTCACTACTGGAAGTAACCTTTTAGAACTGATTTTGGTATAAAATTTACATTAGTGTCTAGTAAATAAAATATACAAATGATAATGACTTATTTATTTTCTTATAGAAAACAGCGTTTCATGCAAGAAGATTTTGATTTGGTTTCAATGTAACATGATTACAAAGCCGAAATCATGTTAGATTGAAAACAAATATTAATCATTTCACCAATCTGAAATCTAGCTCAATTAATTGGTAACATTTCGAGTTGTTCTCATAAATATGTTGAAGCTCATTCTCAGTGGCATAGCTAGGATCTTTTGAGTGATGGGCCGCTTTCCAGTTTAATTATTTTGAGACATGGACGGTATTGGGCAATTAAAAATCGATTGGACCGCAACTGGAAGTTGTCAAAAGTTTATTGCTACCTCCAAATCTATGTTGTTTCAAGGAAATCTGTCACTAACCTATTAGAAATGACCGTGTTTGCTCATGTTCTCTTTTTCATAAATTAATTCTTTATTTCTAAATAACTATCTATTTATTTCTACAGTAAAAATCATGATTAATCATAAATAGAACAAAAAGAACATCAACTCACTTTATCATCTCCCAGCACATAATGATGACTGCTGCTCTATATTTTATTCCTAGCTAGTCCTTTCAGCCTTGTGAGTTTTTTTAACGGCTGATATTTTTAGTTATCTGTACATCCTCTGAACTATATATTATCATCTCATGTAAAAAAAATTAAGGGTATAATCACATTAAAATCATATACCTTTTAATCAATTTTTAATCAAAAATAATCGAAAAAATAAAAATTTCATTTATTATTTTGATTAATTTCGATTAAAAATTGAATAAAAGTTGCATGATTTTAATCAATTTAAATCTGATTATACCCTTATTTTTTTATATGGGATTCCATTACTTTTACTACTAATTACTAAGTGAAATTTTTAAACGGCACTCATTAACATCTTCTTTTGCGAATTGGAATTTTTATTAATCAAATTGCGAAAGTATTGCCCACACTTATACCATTCAAGTATTCGGTTTAAGCTACGTGTGTCGTTTGCGTTCGAAAGAATTCTATGTTCTCTCGGAAGATTCATAAATATTGCACTTATATCTTTATCACCAATTTTAAGTGAGGGCATAAGTTTGTTTCAGGTCAAAATATGATGGAATTGTCATTATTTTGATTATTGCTTCGGTGGAAAATATCGTCAATTGACTTTTCTCGATCATTTGAATATATTGCAACAGTAATCAGTGTTAAAATAACATCATCTAAGCTTTAAAGCATGCATGTATACCAATATTTTTCGGTGTTGGGCCATTGCTATTGCCTGAAAAATTTATTGGGCAATAACTTTTTAACTATTGGACAATTGCCCAATGGCCCTCCCCCTGGCTACGTCACTGCTCATTCTATATGGTTCAATTTTATACCATCGAAAATGTTTTATTTTCCTTAGCATTATTGTCTTAGAAGAAGACTTAAAGAAAAAGTTCATAGATCGCTCAATATATGTTGCTTTTTAATGGACGAAGAGACCCTCTCCGCCATCGTGGAATCATTTTGCTCATTTAAGTTGAATTATATAGCTTATTTTCATTTTATTATTTTAGCTGTTGCTGTTCCGAAAAATAATAATAATAACGATACTCCTACTAAACATTGCGAATTATTTCGTCGGTTGGAATCTGACGATGAATCAATAAATGCACTTGCCATAAGTCAATTACGCACATATCTTGTGAATGAACAACTTTCATCAGAAATTTTACTTCCGACATTTGTTCAAGCTCTTCAATTTATATTTCACAATTTCCGAAAATTTCCTAGAGTATCACTTAGTAAATGGATACTATTAATTGCTAAAAATCGTGGAAAAGTAAAATTCAGAACCTTTGTAAACCCTTTTCGACAAAATATTATTAATTTTCTGTTTTATTAGATATTTTCAAGTGGTGCTCTATGTGATCAATTATTAATAGATATAGTTTTAGGTCGATTTCATATGCCGACGAATATATTCACTTCATTAAATCGTTTAATTCAATCAAATAAAACTGATCAACGACATGATGGTCTTAGTAAATTACGTTTACTTTTAAGAATTACACGCATAAATTGTAAAGAAAATGAAGCACATAATTTACCAACAATATCCAATCAACTTTATAATGCAATAACTCATATTGTATTCGATGGAAAATTCAATGATCATCAAGTACAACTATGTGTAAAAGCCGCTAGAAATTCTTGGCTATTAAATAGTGATCATAGAGAAAAACTGAATAATATTTAGTTATACTAAACATTTAGCATAACCTATTATAATGCTATGTTCAGATAGCGTCAAACCTGTGATGTATTCTTTAGTGATTTGTTTTCGTTTTCTAGTCATAGAAACTATTATTCTATGCAAGATAAAAAAAAACAGTTTGAAAACATCTCTCTTGTTATTGTTCGTCCTTTTTGTCCACACTTATACTTGAACAAACTTTAAAAAAAAATATATTCATTTAAGTTTCAAACAAGCATTTATCTCATAAGTAAGTTACATATTGAGTCTGTTTTGTTGTTGATGATCTCATTACATATGTATTTATTCCGTTGATGATAATACGGAGAAAATAAATGGTTGATAGCTGAATTTTCAATTCTATTCGAGATAGTATAATGTAATCTAGATGTACTACTACTTCATTGAAGTTAATTTATTATGTTGCTTTGTGTTGACACCTCAGCACTAGTAGTATATGATGCTGCTACTTTGTAACTGTTACCGGCAAACTTACAAAACATTGAAGATGCTGGTTTTGAAATGAGGCTGTTGGACAGAGTTATATACAATATTTTCAATAAAATTATTCTATCATATGAAAAACAATTTATATTTTCATCTAAGTAAGTTACATTGAAAAAGATTACCGTGAGCGCACATTAATCAATTTTTCTGTTTTTACAGCGGTTGCAACTAAGAAAGACAGTCTTTGTAAATATTTTTAAACATTTATTTCTGCATTTTGGAATCGACTTGAAAGTACGGATCTACAAGACGAGTCCGGTAGTTTTTTTTTTATATCAAGAACTAGACTGTACATTCTGCTATGAAACATATGCATATATAGAGAGAAATACTCGCGATATAAGCGAGTAGAAAATCACTCCTATGGGTTTATGCAAAATTTTCAAAGGGTGACAAAAACGCTAGTCAGCGCAGCCCCTTTTGGACTAAACTGTGGAACTCACATATTCATTGTGTTTTGATGATTAACTAAGAAGTTAAGATTTGACGAAAGAAGTTTTTGTGTGTGGATGATAAATAATTAGAGGAGGGCTTATAAAAAAAATTAATATTAATATAATTATTTCATTTAAACAGTTGAAAATTACACATGTTATTTATGCTTTAACAGTACAATAGATTTTATTCTAAGACTTTATTCAATTATTTATTAACATCAACAATAAAGTTATTAATTTCATCGGCAACTTATTATTTCTATTTTTGATATACACTTTTTGGTTTTTAAGGTTGTGACGATTTTTGATAGAAGAAGCGCTTGTATTGATGGAACTATACTTTATTTCATTTCATATCATGAATCACATCGATTACATATAAAGCACACATTTAAATACTCAACTACAATAGATAACGAAAGAGAATGGAAATTAAGTACAAATACCAAGGGCGTTAAGATAAATACAAAACACAGAGTGAAGACAAAATCCATCATAAGCACAAAATAATAATTACGCTTAGTCTTGAGCGTTACAAATGTTTATAATGAAGAGGGGGTATGAGAAGCCGCAAAATCTTGCTTTTAAACTTACACCCGCCATTTTCTTTGAAAATATATGTGAATTCCACAAAAATATTTTCGTAATTCATTTGCTTTAAATGGAATTTCATCATTTAATGCTTCATGTTGTTGGAACAATTTACTTTAAATTACCATTGATTCCAACAATTGTACCTTGTAAATTAATGAATTCACCTTCACAGACTTGAACAGGAGCACGAAGTGCAAGCGAAAGTATATCATTTTTTAATGATTTAATTTAAATGCTTCAATATAAATATAATCACGATCACTTTCTTTTACAATAATCGATTTTATTTTTCGTGCCTTAAAATGAAATAAATTTATTTTAATTAAAAAAATTATTTTTCGTTGTTACTTTTTCATTATTTTCTAAAGCAACAAATTTTATCATAAATAATAAAGTTGTGTTTGTTTTTCTTCTCCAATTTCACATTTAACTGATCAAAGATGAACTCAAATTTACAAATTTATTTTGAAAATCAACCGAAATTATTTATTATTGTAATTTTCGAAGCGATTGAGCATGTTAACGTCTTTATAAGTGAATCAGGTGTTTCTTTTCTATTTCAATAATATTTTATCTCATCCAAATATTTGCAAGTACTTTGATTTCATTGTTCAAAGTGAATTAGACACCCACCAAACACTTTAAAATAAGAGTTTTGTTGATTGAATTTATTTATTTCATGGAGTTTTATCTGTTGATAATCATTTTGATTCATGACAAATGCAATAAGAAGAATGATGCGATTTAATTTTAATTAATTTCTGTCTCATATTGACATACTCAATTTTTCACGCAGGTCCTCATCCTCACCCAAACTTATATTGGTGGAAATCAAATCGGTAAGAATGAAGCACAAAAGTTTTTGGGCATCTACTTAAAATCAACAAAGTAAGACAAATTTTCAATCGGATACATCGAAATAGACGTTTCGTTTGTTACCAACAAACTACATTACATTATTCATAATTCATAATTGAATTAGAAACTATTTCCTAGGTGAAATGAATAAAATCTCAATTCTTTATCAACCTGTAACAAGAAAATCCAGAAAGATAACATTTAAACAATGAGAAATGATTCCAAAAATGCTTTGAAACACTTTACAAGCATTTTATTTATTGAATACGATTTCATATAATTTAATGGGTGAAATGTAAATTTCGGTGAACTTTTCAAGAACGATTATTTGAATATTTCAAAATGTTTTAACACTGAATAAATATGAATGTTAGTGCAACATTTCTAATTGTCTCTCTGATTAATGAATCGATATTACGAGAATATTTTTCATTTATTTTATGAGATTTTTATCGAATAGAAAAATCTTCATAAATAGTTTTTTTTGCTTTTGTTAAGATTTCAATTCGTTTTTCTCACACAGCGATTCACAGATCATCAATTTTGTTTTCAGAAAGATTTTGAAATCTGCTAAAGAAAATCACAGATGAAAATTTCGTTTTACTATATTTCGATTGTTAAAATAGAGTTTATTCAATGTACATTTAATGAATATGTTATCAGAGAAGTTAAAGGCTACAGTAACTATCAAAACAATATTCTTCCGTTAGTGTTAACTCTATTTTTATTCATTTCCTATGTTATTTTTGTCATTTGATATTCCTATTGATGATCACTTGGAGATAAGAAGATGCATGAGTTGACTTTAATTCATTTGTCAATATTATTTTAAATCTTTATTTTTACATACAGACAATTACCCATTTCGGCCTGGGAAGTAACATCATGGAAAACACAGTGTGAAGCATTTTTTCGAAGTATTTAGGATCAACAAAGGAAACTACTTTTTCAGTTGATATGCACCCTCAGAAATTTGTCAATCACTTTGAAAATTTTCCTTTCGATCGATATGATTATCCAAGGATATATGCTATGAAATGTTTGATTTCATCCGAAGATATTCTTTAGTTTTCTGTGCATTTATTGTCAAATTCAGTATCGCAGATTATCATGCCCATTTTTGGCGATTTTTTTCTCCTAAAATAATGATTTTTTACGAGTTGATAAACTATCGAATTTGACCTCTTTATTATTGAATTTCATTTTCATTGATACATATAATCTAGATGTGAACACAGACCATTGGATATATCAAATAATGAACTCCAAAACGGGTTATGTTTTGTTTGAAACTATCAATCAAAAGAATCATCTGAGAAGACAATCATTTGCTAACTACAAGAGTTCAGTCAATTTCATTTTTATTCGTCAAAGTAGCAAAAAAGAACTTCACTTCAAAATACATCATTAATGAAAGCATCGAAAACTGTATAATGTAAATTATTAAATAAAATGCTTGAAAAATTATCTTCAAAGAGATTCACTTCTGTTTGATCAACGTCATAGAAATATTCACATTGTCTTTTTCTTCTAAGATTCAGTTTGATTTATAATGGAACTCTAATTTTCTCACAATCAAGTACATTTTTGGAGATATCAGTTCTCTAGAAAAAGGGTCAAAATGCCTTTTCAAAATAACAAAATTCGAAACGACGAGAATCTTTTTTTCTAAGAAGCTTGTTTTGGAGGGCATAGAGAAAATTATTCTTGATTCATGAGACTGACCTAGGACATTGCTTTTCAAGTCGTTTGGTAGCCCGAAGTTTCTACTAGATAACGCTGTTATGTGATAAGGGTGTGGGTGTGGGTGTGGTTATGACGCTTCTATTCATTGAAACCCATACCCCACGCCCACACCCGATCAACACACGTATTTAATCCTAACGTATTTCATTGGCCTTATGCATTACCAATAGTAAAAGCATGATGGTCATTATCATTATGATCGCGTTTCATAGAATCAACAAGTTATGTTAGACATATACCACCATCATTGGTACTTTGTGTATTCACTAGTACATTGCTGATGTATTATCGATATTCTATCGAAAAGAAATGACGCGATTAGATAGAAATTGTTGAAATAGACTTATGGGTAATGGTACAAGAACTTCTTTTTCAAGTTTTTTGATGATGAAACCACGAAAACCACGGCCAGGAGTTCTACCTATATGTTAGGGATTTGTACCAGTCACTCGGGTTACATCAATTTATGATCAGCACGAAGGTGCTCGACAATCATCATTTGCTAATGTCTAGCAAATTATTCCGTCATTGAAAAAATTTGAATAAAGAAAACAATACTTATTAGTCTACCTTTCTATTATTGTATTGTATTTTCACATAAGCTATTTTCAAATGCTGTTTTCTATTTTCTAGACACTTGACTTATTTACGTACTTAATAACATAATTTCCTGTGTTGATATTGGTTGTTCACCATCTTCTTGTTTTATTGATCTATGCAATTATTGTTGTCATTGGCAATTCCATCGAATGTTTCAAGAAGTTATGTTGTCTACTACCAGATATAAACTCAAATAAAATAGAGGCTGTTACGGATGAATAGAAATTGTTGACGTTGTATCTCCACTAATATTTCAGAATA